ATTTTTGAAGAAAATGTTCTTTTATTTCAATAGTGCTAGAATAGCTAAAAGATTTCAATCAGCTTCAGATTGTGTGATGCTACAGTGACAGCATTGGAAAGATTTTTGTAATGACCTTGTATTAAAGGTGGAATTTGACAGGATTTCATTTCTACATGTCTCTATGGTAAAAGCTCATAACCATAAATAAATGTTCTTTCCAACTGCTCTTGAATTATGGAGTTTCCATAGACTCTCTATTGGATTTACACTTTCAACATTCATACACTACCACTAGTTTGCATTTTTTGCCATTATGTTGCAGTATATCATTTTTATGCAGATGATACCCAGATTTATCTATCCCTGAGTAATGAACCATCCTGCACCACCAGATCTACTGCCTGACTGATGTTAATAATCGAATAGCTTGGAACTTTGTGAGACTAAGGCAAAAAAGACAAATAGCAGTATTTGGCTGTCTTCCACGCACGTTTATTTTCTCCTGCCCCTATCGCACATAGCCTCTGCGTTACTTGCTTGGTTCCAGAGGAGGGGAAAAAAAAAATCTAGTGAGAAATATGCTTGGCTAATTATATATGGGTACCTAATGAAGTATCTAGAATGTAGATTTTCCATACAGGGAACTGTTCAAAACAATTTATCTTGGTTTGTCTGATTTTCAGTCAAAATGATGGGATGAGTTAAACCTCTTATTTGCCAAGAAAATGAATATTAATGTAGAGCAATGAGCTAAATCATCATACGACATAATAAAATCACAGAAATGGTTGGATAGAACATCACCATTGATGAAGACCCAGCAAAGTCTGAAGACGGACATCAATTCCTGGAATAAAAACTCATGCATCTGCACACAATTTCTCCTCACTTAAACTTCCAATAATTTGATACCAATTTTGCTGGCATAATGAGAATAAACAGAATAAATCAAAGATCTGGAGCAATCTTTGCCTCTTTTGGAGAAGATGTGTTTAGACAGAATATTAACTGCTATGATTACTTCTATAAATATATTGAGATACAAGCCTTAAGTAGCATTGTTTAAGTTAAATCAATCTTTTATTTATAAAGGCAAACCAGTCCTCTTCTAAAAGCAAAGCAAATACTGCATGTGTTTATAGAATGGCTGACTGAAAGAATAAAGTAACTACTTTCAAATGATACTCAAAAATGAGAGCCATTTCTTTGGGATACAGAGTCAATACAAGTCAGAAATCTCAATCTCACTGGGGAAAGAAAAAAAAAAAAGAAGAAAAGATTTGAAGATACCCTGCCTCAATTGCACATCCCGTAGAATACATGGAAGCACAGCTTTTGCAACGGTTTAGAACCAAGAATATAGCATTATATGTATATATAGACTACATGGGCAGTACTTCGTTAAGCAACGGGACTATATGTGAGCTATCTCTAAGATAATAGAACTTTATGCCTAGCTAAAATGGGAAAAAGGAGAATGACAGAAATAGCTGCTAATCCACCACTTATTTTATACAGATTAGATAGTTTGGATCCTGCAGATCTGTAAGCAGATACCTCTTCCCTCTGGAAAATGTCACTTTGGGGGTAACTTTTAATAAAAGGCCTCAGGATTCTTAGAAACAGTCAAGTTGTATTTCTTAACAGAATACTGATAGATCTTTCTGGATGACTTTCTCCTCCTACAAAAATAGGTGCCTTTAACATCTTTATATATATATTTAGAGAGAGAGAGAGAGAGAGGAACCTGCCATATTCATCTATACCATTCCCAACTTCCAAAGCAACTAGCAACAATCAGAAATTCCTACTTAAATTTTGAAAGGTTATAAAGTCAAATGCTTAGCCTGTGTAAGATTAGTGGAGCAACTCCAGAAATAACATTTTAATAACAGTTGACACCATCAGACAAGTAGAAATATGGAGCACAGAACTGAGTACCTCAGCTAATTACATCTGAATAAAGACTGACACTTTGCCTCTCTCCTTCACCTGCTGACTGAAAATTGATGCATCATTACCACCTCTGATACCCCTGATTGCCACCACTGAGCCTGGAAACCATTAACTACTGCAAGAAGATATCTACAATAATAAAGAAGGTAAAAGCATCCTTTCTTAAGAGGTGTTCAAATTAGTACTTTGGTAGAGGAAATGATAGAAATTTATAGAGATCAAGTTGAACAGGTCTGATGCAGTGCATTAAGGAGTAGCAACAGAATTTAATATATTTGCACAATGAAAAGAAAAACTAGTCAGATACACTGAGACATTTGGGTGCATCTTTGTTTCCTGCTTCATCAAATTTAGCACTGTGAATGACCCTTTCCATGCTTAAGTTTTAGCCCTTACTCAGATTCAGATCCTTCTGAACCAGACTTCTTGGAAGCATAACACAGTTCACCTAATGTATTCTGTCCAGAATACAAGTATCCTTTGACGTTTTCTGTCCTAAGGTGCTCCACAGCATGAGTATTCCTTCTTTGCAAAGTACAGGAATTCATCTTGTCTGAAGCACACTGAAACACTAATATGCAGCTTCTTCTCAATAACAGAAATTATTTACATTAAAAAAGACTTTGTAAAATAAAGAACAGAAGGTAGACCAGACCTTCTAACTTGGATCTGTGCAATCTCTGACCTTGAAGATACTCAGCCTTGACTGTGAGGCTCTGTTCAACATGATCTAAGTGGGCCTTACACTGTGTGCTGCCTGGGACAAACTCACCCTACCACCTTTCAACCTAAATTATTCTATGATCTTATATGCCCCTAAGTAAGGGTTAATCACAGAGTTGAACAACTCCTTTATATCATTGAATACAACTTCTGAAAAAGACTGAGAAAGCACTTCAAGAGAAAGCACTATCTTTGAGAATAATGGCTTCAACGTTCTTCAGTGTTCAATCACACAAAAGAGGGAAAAAATGTTGGAGATGAGCAGTGGTCTTATAAGAAAGCACAAACAAATTTCAAGATGCTACAGCCCCCGTGAAACATCCCATAAATTAGCATCTACTAAAGCCCTGAAGAACACTCAAATTTTAGGACAGGGATGATCATAAATCTCACCTGCTGAAGACGGCAGTACAAGTTCCGAACTTTGAAAAAGGAAAAGCACCCCAAAATAAAAGCAAAGATATGAAAGAGCTGGCTTTCTTGAAGATACATGCCAAAGGAGACACTCCTACCTCACCAAAGCATGCCAGTATAGTATCCGGCAACTCCTTGCCAGTTAGGTGTTACTCTTTAAAGGGATTAGGAACAAATCCTCCTTTGCTGCTTAGCCAGAGCAATAGAAAAAAATTAATAAGTAGTCATCGACTTTGTGCACAACCAGAGATTAAAAGATGAGTCTCATGTTTTGGGCAAATGAAGAGAGAACAGCTGCAACACTGAATTCCACATGGGCGTCAGGCACCTGCATACCAAGGGGGCTGAGGACCAAAGACAAAGCTGACAACTTCCTGCAGGCAACTGAACAGGAGGACTCGGGAGATAACACCTAGCTAAAATGCAAGAGACCTGCTCTTACTGTAGTATCAAACCAACTTTGCTCTAGATAGGTTCAGCTGTTTATTCGATATCCTTGTGCATTTGTGAACACAGGGTGTGCTAATGGTCACAGGCGAGTGGAGCCCATGAGCACTTCTGACTCATTTTATATATAATTCCTGTGCCTCCAGGGCAGTTCCTGCTTGAATGGCAATATGTACGTACATGAAGCAATCACAATGCTGATGAAAACATGATAATTTGTGCTGAAAATCTGCTTCTGTGCACATGCTTGCTTTGTAGTTGCGGTAGATGATGATTACAAAGGCCTTAAACTCCTCACCATTGTCACACTGTGTCACAGCTGTGACAGAAAGAGTAAAGCAAACCGGAGCATGCGGAGACAAACATGCCAACTGTTCAATCGTCTCCCCTCGACCACGACATCAAACGCATGCAAAGCTTCTGAGAAAGATGATTTTAAAGAAAGCCATGCAAAAGTTTAATAAATTGAGTTGTATTTTAATTATTGTTTTCATTATTATAATATTGATTTCATTATTGAATAATAATGAAATTGAATAACTGAATAATATTGATTTCATTATTATAATACATAAGCACATATAGTCATCTTGATTAATAATCCAATAGTAATCCTTTGATTATTATTATTGATCAACATCTTTAACCTAGGCAACATATAATTGAACAAACACTGTGAACATGGAAATTCTTCTGAGCTGCATGCATCTAGCCATAAATATTTACCTTAGGATGTGATGTTTAATTATGGTTTGACCCTTTTAGGATCAAACAACTCAGCTGAATCTACCAAAAACATCATATAAATTTTAACAAAATAAGTCTTCCCAGAATTTTCTATGAAAAATTATGTTCACTTTTTGTAAAAAAAAAATCCAGGAAATGAATTAGGCCGTACTGACCTTTTATGATTATTTTTGTAAGGCTGATTTCATTGTCACATCCCTTTCTGACAATCACCTTGCTATCCTTACCTCAGAATTCTCTGCAGTGATTATTGCATGCTTCTGTACACATCAGCATGCTATCAGAAGCATTCATGATCACTGTGTAGTACTTTGGGAAGCTGGAGAACACTTAGGAGTCATTTATGTTCATTTATGTTTTCTGTTCAAGTATGTACTATATGATCAAGTTACATTTACATAGTTATGATGAATTTTATCTAGTACCTTCCTTTCAAGTAAGATGTCATCACTATCATACTGCAACACAATTACTTAGCTTCATCTTCCTCCTAAAATTTCCCTAAATTCAAACAACCCTAGGAAAATGCATAGATATATAACACAGGTGCTGACAAAACAGTTGGCACTTTAGACCAATTATAAAATTGTTTAAAAGATCATTTGTTAAGCTACAAGTTTTAAAAATATTTCTTGGTTTTGAGAGAAGCAGAAAACAGACTGCCAAGATAGATGATATGTGGGGCTGCAAAACCATGCAATGTAAATTGAAGAGCGCAAGCAGAAACTCACCTCTACCTCTGTTCTTTGTAGCAGCCACTGGAAGCAAGGAAAAGATTGCACGAGAAGAAGAGAACAAAGATAGATTAGCAAGAAGTTCTGCGTAAGGAAGAATACAGAGAAACTTTATCACTATTGATTCAAAGGTAACAAACACTATTTCTAGGATTATTTGGCCAATTTATTTGAGATAGTACAGTTCTAGGAGATAGTTCAGATCTATGTTTCTGTCAGGAGACCTGTGTTTAGAATTTAGAAAGGCATATCCAAAAACATACTTGAAAAGCATGACAAGGAGTGCAGAAAAAACACATGCCATTAATCACAAAAAGGTGACAATGCAGGTATACACATTTGTAAGTTTGAAACTTATAACACAATTTGACTTTCTAAAATTTCATTCTCAAGTACCTAATCACATACCAGTCCTTTGCTCCTATATCTTGAAATCTTAACCTTTTGTACAGCTGATACAAACACATACCAGTCAAACTTCAGGTATTCCAACTATCTGTAGTCTACATCATACAATCCTTGTTTTTTTTTTTTTCTCAGCAAAGCATTTCAATACTTCTTGCACTCTTACTAAAGCATGCATTTATTGATGCTTAAGAATTCACAAAGCAAAAGAAGCAAGCAACACTCAACAAATAGTTAAATAGATCAATATTCAAATTCAAATAAAAAGGCGTCTTGATCTTCTGGACAAAATAGCTCCCCTTGTTTCCCCTGAAACAGCATGGTTTCATGCTATTAGTCCAAAAGACACATCACTGTCATAAAAACAAAGAAGACAGGAGGGTCAAAAGTCCCTTTCTATCATCTTCCTGCCTTGCTTTCCTGTTTTCTGGGGTTCAGACAAAAACTGCGGATACACAGTATTAATCGGGACCTGAAGTGAAAATGGGATCATTCTGCTAGCTCTACATTGCACTACAGATACTAAGTCTTCAAGGGTCTTTAAACACACAAGTGCACTTTAAAAAGGCATTAATTCTAGAGTACCTTTATGAAGGAAAGGTACCTCAAGATAAAAAAACATAATTCCTTCTTATTCCTTATTCCTTTCCTAAGAGGAAACTTGTAACAACTTCACAATTACAGTAGTGATCAAGACACAGAAAACAGGAGAAAGATCAAATTCCATTTCTTCTCTCTTGCTTTTCTTGTTAAAACGGCTCTAAACACCTACCTCTAATGTTTTTCAACTGTCAGATATCTCACAAGTCAGTCCTTACTGAGGTCATGTAGAGTATGGCAGCAAAGGCCAAGTTACTATACAAGTAGAAGCCAAAAACAAAACAAAACACTGTAAATGCATCCAAAAAATGTCAATTCCCTCAATTTTGTCATTTTCCCTTATCCCTCCTCTACTCCCATCTGCACCATTGTCCATTGCCACAGTCTGCTTAGTAGTGAGAACAAAACCCAAGAAACAAGTAATTCCAGGCCATCCAAAATCACAGCTACTCCTGGAACAGCTCTGCTTTAGGAAGATACCACAAATGCAGGCATTTCTGCAGAGCTATGGTCTTAAAATTAGCTTTCCACCAAACTGTTTAACAAGATATACTCAGCCGCAAAACATCCAGTAAATCTTACATGCTCTAAAAATCGCTTGAGTAGTAAACAAAATTAATGGTGCCATTCTAATTTTTTAATAACTGAACAGTTTCTCCTTCATGCAAATATAAGTTGATAATGAATGCATCGAGCTCATCAACCTGTTCATTTTCGTATGCTTCCCCCTCTTTTTCAGTCCCGAGAATTACATCCACGTGAACACATTGTCACTTCAAGCCAGAATGATCATTTAAACTTAAGTTTAAACTTAACAAATGTTTGGAAATCCACCTAGGTAATTTAAAAGCAACAGGAGACTTTCTGAGTCACTTTGAGTGACTCAGAATAAAGAAAAACACACACACATACGTGCATATATGTGTGGGGACACGCACACACACATGAACATATACATATTAAAATAATTCAACAACATTATGATGAGGCAACTTTGTGTTGAGACATGAGTACTAGAGAATTATTGCCCACTAGAAGACATAAACAAGGTTGTACATTATAATTGGAAGTAGGACAGGTTACTAGGCTTGTTAGACCAATTATAATTCTCTGCATATTCAATAATAGAGGACTAGATGACAGTAATGTTCTTATAAATGTCATGTACAATACTTGTAAGGTTTTCCATTGACAGCATGGTCCAATTACAAGTCAATTGGTAAAGTTCACGCTACACAACAGTCAAATTAGCTGAAAAGGAACTTTCAGGATATAATTCTATCTACTGAAGAGAACTAGAATTATTTCCATCCATGACCCAACTTCTTGCTAACTAGCATGGGGGAGATTTCCCTTTCATTGTTGTCACTGAGGTAGGCATTTCTCTCTTTTTTTTTTTCCCCGCCCTCCCAAAGGTGAGATAGTGAGAAACTTCTTTTCTCCTTTTTTTTTTCTCTCTCTCTATCATCACTTTGAGCATGTGGTGAGCATGTTGCATGCAAAGATGCTTACTGCACAAAGTAGTATTTCGGATGTAAAGAAGATACTATTTTTAACTTCTATCCAAAATGTTTGGAAATTTGTACCCACTTCTTTATTACCGCTACCTGAAAGGTGAGAGAAGGAGACAAGCAAAGATAACTTTTTTTTCAAATGCACATCATCAACAATTAGCAGGGGAAGATGATTGACTTCTTGGTTATGGCACCAGATATAGAGGGACTATGGTTTTTGCAATTGATATCAGTTGCAAAACAAACAAAAAAGGTCTTATTAAATAACATAGTATCATTCATACAGTCATAGTATTGATCTTTCTGACTCTCTTCAGGAAGTCAGCTGATTTCTCTGCACTTTGTCTACCCACCTTTTACTTCCTTGCTGGTTAAAAATAAGCTGTTCAAAACAGTTACTTCCCAACATACTGTATTTTTCAAGATACTGTTTAAATTTGAAACTTCAGTAATGCACATGGAATGGATTTTAAAGGTCAGCAATAGCTTCCAGGTAGCACACAACCTGAAAACTGGATTGTTTCTTTTTTTTTTTTTTTGGGGTCTGGCATTTTCTTTGAAAAAAAAAACAGGTCAATTAGGAAAGGGACAAAAAGGAAAGGCAATGACTTCCTATCTTGCCCCAAGTTCATGGTATTCTTTAAAAACCTAACACATTGCAAAGACATGTTCTTTCAGCTACTCCGCCTTGTCTTCTTCAGTATATTGATCAGTATATCCCACTTTTGGATAGGGAGGGAAACAAAAACAGACAGAAAAAACAGCAATGATCTTTGTTGGAATTTAAAGACAATCTTAACAATGAGAAAAGAAAAAGACCATATCCTCTGAAGTGATTCTAAGGCCCAACAGACCTACTAGATCTCTGGGTAAGACTGAAGAGAGCAAAAAAAAAAAAAAAAAAAAAAAAGTTGCATTTAACTTTAGTTCTATTAAGATTAAACAATATTTTATTTTCTGAAGGCTTTTCTGGTCACAGTACAAGAAAACAAAAATTTTATTTTCTAAGACCTAAGAAAAGGTCTCGGAGAGAGAGAATCAAAGGAGAACAGGAGCTCAAGGTCAGAGACCTAAGGAGAGTTCACTCAGAGAGCAGGATAAAATATGTGCCATAGCCTGAACTGTGACAGTTAATTTTCACAGAACTCAGGTACTTAACTTTTCGTTTTGTTTTGTTTGATGAGAAATGCCTTTCTCTTGTGATAGTTCCACCTGAAACAATGTTTTTAAAAAACATTTTCTGTATGTAAAAAGGCTGGATTCAGATTCTGAAAACTCTAATATAAGCATGCTCTCAAATATCAATAATATATTAGGTTTTATTTTGCCATGATACATCTTTCTGTCTTTTTGCTTTTTGTATGCCAGCAATTGTTAAATTACATTCTTTGACAAATGGTGGCTACAAGATGCTCAATATTTTTTCCACACACAGCTGTCTCTACGCTGTTCATTTTTTGTGGACATTTTTAGACAGATTTGATATAGCATTTATTTTATTTTTCTCTTATATGTGATTTATTATTTGATTTAGGATATATCCTTAGTCTTTGGGAAAAAAAAAGAAAAGTCTTTGCAATTACTTCAATAGCTCAATAAAAGGGGAAAAATATTTCCTCTAGACATCTTGCCTACCTGACCTTTTATCCTAAACAGAAAGAAAAACAAAACAAAACAAAAAGCAAACAAACAAACCACTGTGAGACTTGAGATCAGTCTCTTTTTCTCATTTCACCTCCCTATTGCCCTTAATTAATAACACAACTAACTATTGGAAAAGCTGGTCCAGTATCTAATTGTTGTTGTTTTAACCAGTTGTTATAACAACTATAATAACTCTTTTCAAGAAATGAGGCAAGATCATCCTAAAGCACATTATATTGGCTTTCTCCTGAATACAGCTCACTGGGATATTATGTTCCTAAACCTATAGTTTCAGCAAATGGGGAAGTCCTCTTATCTCCAATGAAATCTATAGGTATGAATGTTGACACAAGAAACCTGTTTATTCAACTGCATGTTTACTCCAGTCTTAAAAGCTTACAAGATCAAGGGACTTCAAAAATAAGCAGCATTGAAGAGAGTAATATTCAATAATAAATAGTAATTTAATAAATCATACATGGACATACATTGCAGATTTCCAATTTTCAAAAGAAAAGGAGATAATTTTCGTACAACATGGCACAATGTTTCCTATCAACTTTAGGATGATGACAACATTTTTCCCTTGGGATATACTGATATATCATCATTGGTCAAATGGTCCCCTGTGGGACAGAGGTTTTGGCATAAATACCAGTATGAGCTGTACTGCAGCCTCCTTTCCAACAGCAGCATTTTCCAAAACCCAGGGGAAGAAAAAGGAGCCACAACCAGGAGTCCTGCCCAGGATTTTGGATTTCCTGCATCAAGGCAGATAATGTCGCGGAGGCTTGAAAAGCCACCTATAGACAGCAGGGAGGCAAGGGGTCTTGGCAGTTCTTTCCAAATTACATGTTAAAGGCATCAACAAAATAAACAAATAAAAAGCACTCACTCCTATATTTGCTTACTATTGTTCTT